AACTGCTCATATTTACCAGTGTGAATGTAGTTTATAGCTGTGAGATGGAGAAACAAATTGACAATTAAACGGAGCTGAACCGTTTCTAGGAGTGAAATCTCCCCCATATTCAGTTAGAGGGCAGCATGTGAACATCATCAGCATTGTGACACATGCAAACACAATGTGAGCTGCAGAATGAGCATTAATTATAGATACTTGTTTGTGTGCGTGTGTGTTAATGGCAGATACCATGTCTTGGTCCCTGCTGAGTGGCTCTCAGCAGGACTCATTAGGCCCAGGCCCCAGACACAGTCACTCAGCTATAGCCTATCAGGGCTGCGTGTACCTGTTCGGAGGCTTAAAAGGTTTACGGGAGCAGAGAGACTTCTGGAAGTGGAATTCCAGCAGCCAGACATGGAGTTCACTCAAGTAAGTGCGGAGTTTGTCGGTATTTTTGAAAACTGGGTGCAGTGAAAAAGATCAGTTGCGACATTAAAACCACTGACAGGTAGTGATGGGCAAACTGAGACATACAAAGTTGTTGTGCCAGACTGGATCATGGTTTCAAAACAATCTCACAGCCATCTCCACAGCGACACCTGCTGGCTGCTTTTGTGTCAGTACTTGAACAGGCTCTTCTGTGAAACAACACAGACAAGCATTGCACATTTCTAGACAAATCTACATGTTATACCAGACTATCAATAATTATGATCAATACATGTTTTGGAGAACTTCCTTTACAACAAAATAAGAAATACTTTGGAATGGTTAAAGACAGCGATGACTGCAATGAACTCTGTGTTTCAGCATGTACTATTTTGCTGTGGTACATGAGGCTGTTTCAGTTACTTACTAATTCAGTGCAATACAAAACAAGCTAGTTTATAAATAATGTATACTGAAAATAGCTGCTCTGTTCATCATGATGTCCACACAAGGTCTGTGGATTTGACTGCGGCTCACTTTGTAAATAGGTTAAGTAGAGGCCCCAATATCATTTATTCTCTTTGTGACTGAATATAGCTAATTACACTTATGGAAAATGAATAAAATAAGAGAAAAATGAAGCAATACTGTCTACATTTGTCAAATGCAAAGATTTTTATTCAAAACATTTTGAGTCTTTTTGGTTTTTCAGCTATTCTTAGGCTGAGTCAGATGTTTTTTATTATTATTAACTGACGTTCCTAACCTTGGAAAAAGTCCATTCACAAGGCACACTTGTTGCAGGTATACATAAGTCTTTTTTGCCATGATATAAAGGTGTGAATATGTAACACATCACTCCTGTGAATATACTACTGGATCATATGTCCCTTGAATAAATTCATCTCTGTGGGTTTCACTAACCTGGCTGCCAAAAAGTTCCCACAGTCTATGTTTTTTTAATCCTGTGCTGTGGTTATTGTTTTTGCTGCTCCTGACTCTTAAGCTTTCTGGGAGGTTTTACTGTCATTATATTTGGTCTACACTCTGACAATAAAACCTAGAAGCAGTAGGTAAGCCGCCTGTTGAAACTATAGTTAAATGCACCAGTTAGCAATGGACCCAGACCCAGAGTCATTTTAAATTAGCTCACACTGGCGCTTACAGATGGTCAGCCTCTAAAAAACACAACTTTGCTCATTAGCTTTTTCAATTTAGGCCCAGTTTATAGCTGTATTGTCCTAATCGCTCCAGCAGTTTAGCAAATTACAAGCTTGCTACATTGCTTTTCAATTTTTAAGTTAAAGTACTTTTTGCTTCCTAACGTTTCTTTATTCACATTTTTTTTTACCTGTGTTATAATTTGTGAAACTATATTTTAGTTGTAATTTATTTATTTTTTTAGTTTTGCTTTTAAAGAACTTTGTGTTTCAAATCAAGAAACTAATTTGCTTCAGATG